AATCCAGCGGCATCTTTTGTCTTTCCCAGCGGAAGTCTGGTGCCCCTTCTCCCCTCCAAGAGCCGCTGTCAGGGCTGCTCACGCCCACGCTGTCCCCACGTGCGCCCGTCTCTCACATCCCGGTGATGTCCCTCCCTGCTCCTGTCCTCATTCCCAGGCTGCGCGGGTTCTTGTCCCTCTCGTGCGTTAGGCTAGAAAGGCCTGTTGTTGAGTGATAGCCCTGCCAGCGTCAAGGATGGGAGGGTGTGTGCTTATTTCCCCTGTTTTGACACGTACGTTTCCGTCTTGCATTCGTGGGCTGCTCTGGATGCGCAGCGGCCCTCAGAGTCCACACGACCTATCGAAATGCTGCACCCACTTGTAAGTTAGGAACTGTTCACACGTAGGATTGTGCTCAGGCTCAGGTTTTGAAGGTTGGGTGGTTAATGTGCGGGACTCCTTAGCCTTAGCTGAGGGAGCTTCTGGAAGGGGTGTGACTGGGAGGAGGTGCCGGCCTGGCAAACAGGAGGCATCGGTGGCTGTGCTTTTCAAAGCCGAAGGGAGTGATGGGAGGGAAATGGGATGTGACAGTGGAAAACAAATGCTGGTTTGAGAGCGTCGGGCAGTCAGCGCGGTTGACCAGACTAGAGGCCGGTCAGGGCAGGGCTTAGCGCCTCCCCCAGGTCGGTGGCCTCGGTGCCCCAGGAAGAACAGTTCTGGCTCCTCTGTGTTTAAAATTCAGAACACGAGCTAGTTCCCTTGATTCACACGTACGAAAATAGTCATGTTTTAATTTTATATTATTAGGCTTATTAATAAACTACAAATACACGTAGGGGAAAAAATGTAGTAGAACAAAAGAAAAGCCCGGGTGCGTGTGTGTCAGGTGGGAAGGATGGTGGCAGGTGCAGAGGGGAGGCGATGGGCAGACAGGGGCTGGTGGGGAAGGGAAGGTGGGTGTGGGGCGGAGACACCTAAACTTGGAGAGGCAAGGAGGCTTAAAGTTTATTTTGGAAATAAAATTATTTCCCAATAAAAGTTTGTATGTTTGTCTGTTTGTTAAGTGAGGCCCTGAGGTCCAGAGCCACAGGAGGAACTCAGAGGAGGACATAAGTCGGCGAGGCGGTCAGCATGCGCGTCGTGGCTCTGAGCGGGGCACAGTGGCCCTTCGGGATGCAGTACCCACTTTGTGTTTGCTTGTCGACCATGGGCTTGTTTTAGTAGCAAGGAATGGACACTTAACAAATTGGTGCTTTCATTGAAATTTTAAATTTATGTTTGCTCTTTAACCCTTTCCTACCGTTTTCAAGCTACGTGTACTGTGTGTTATAGGCCTCTTATCTCAGAAGGTGGCGCTCAGCCTACAGCGTCGTGGGCTGTGATGGGGAGATGAGAGCATGCGCGGCTTATGTCGGTTACCAACAGTGGGTACCAGAGGTTTTCCAGTTCAGCCTGTAGAATCTGTATACTCTGTGTGTGTGTGTGTGTGAGAGAGTGCATGAGTGCGTGCACGTGCGTGCGCACACCCATACATGCTGTGTATGCAGAGTAGATAGAACATGGCATTGTTTACCTTGTCTTTCTTAAGATAAGAAATAGCATTGCATTTGTTTTTTCGAATCCAGGTCCAAGGCCACCTTCGGCTAAATTAAGCCATGTTCCATGCATCCCAGAGACAACTTATAAATATCCTGATTTGCCTATAAATCGATGCAGGGAAGAGGTAAGATTATTCTTGTCACACTGTGATTTGCTGTTTGTGTAAACACCTGAGGCCCCGCCCTTTTTGTGTATAGTCTGACAGTACCCAGATGCCAGGCTCGGTGGCAGCAGAGGAGGCGGCTGCCATGGGAGGCGCCCTGTGTAACGGTGCCGGCACTGCTCGGCCTCCCCTGGGCTGCCTCCTGACATTCAGTCTGTCTGCTCGTCCCTCCGACATGGTGCGGGCACATGCCGGCTCGTTCCCACCGCCCCATGGAGCTTCTTAGTGAAAATGCACGGCCCAGTCTCTATGAAGCGAGCAATGCCCCTGGCCGCAGTCCCCCTCGCATCCCGTTGGGGCTGCTTTACACTTTCGCTTTGCGTGCACTTTTGCCTAGTGATCCGTTAGCTCCCTCAGTAATGTATCATTTTACGAACGATGCCGGGCCAGGTATAGCAGCGTTTGTGTGTATTTACGATGACTCGTTCAACCGTGTTTAATAGCACGTAACTACGTTGGAACCTTAGTAACTTTACTGGTGGAAGGGGTACTTACAGATAAAACAAAATGGTAAACATTCCAACTTTAATTTTTATTTTGCTTTCGATCGAATCACGTTGGTAGAGTAGATACACGTTAGTAATTTTCAGAGGCCAACATTGAAGTTCAGCTGTATTCCCTGAGTGCAGCAATCCCGGAAGAGATGGGAGCGTAAATGAATTTAGGGAGAGCAGGGCAGTGATGGGGAGGAATGGGATTGTGGATTCAAAAATGCTCCATGCAGACTGTAAGTGGGACGGTGGAAGTTGTTCAAAAATATGAGAGTTTCAGTTGATATTTTGAAACCGCTTGAGTGTAATAACAGCTGTGTTTTCTTGTTTCTCAGTAGAATTATTTGAAAACTTTAAAATAGTAGAAATTTAGACTTAGCAAGAGCCATATAGGAAGCCCAGTGTGATGTTTTCATTTTCGTGGATGAAGAAGGTGAGACCTCTTTTCCCTGGCATGACAGGTACTGTCACGGTCAGACTGGTTTGACATGTCACAGATGTGTAACCTTCTTCTGTCATTTGTGATGTTTAACTGGTTAGCTATTAACTGTAAAAGGTGACAGGAATCTAAATCTCGACGGTCTTTTCAAGGTAAAGCGGGCTCCTAGGTAACGCTTTTAGATCATCGGTAATTTTGCGGCGGTTTTGAAAGGTGTTTCTCTGTTTGATTCCAGGTGATATCGCTGGTAGAAAGCAACTCCGTGGTGATCATTCACGGCGCCACGGGCAGTGGGAAGAGCACGCAGCTCCCGCAGTACATCTTGGAGCATCACATCCAGCGCTCCAGCTACTGCAACATCGTGGTCACCCAGCCCCGGAAGATAGGGGCCAGCAGCATCGCCCGCTGGATCAGCCGGGAGCGCGCCTGGGCTTTGGGCGGCTTGGTGGGCTATCAGGTGAGGCCGGGCGTCCCTCTCCTCGTTCATTTGTGTTCTCTGTAAGTAGATGAGAGGATGTGTTTATTTTCTTCTGGACATTAAAATGAAACCAGTTGCTTATAGAGCAGAACTTAACATAATTTAAAAAATAGTTAAACTCTGAATTTCTTGCAAATAACTTTAATTTCTTTCCCAGTTTTTTAAAAAAAATTTTTCCCCCTCTTTAAGTTTTGTTGTTTTTTGTTTTAAGCTGAATTGGTTGCTAACACAACTTAAAGTTCATATAGAAATCTAGGTTTGGGTTTTTTCCCCCTTTTTAATCCACCCCCCCCCCCACACCCCCTTCCACCCCTGGAGGGTTTCTCCTTAAGAACTGGATCTCTGAAGGCAGGGCGTCTCCTCCCACATGCTGGCGGCGTGTTCCCGGGGCCTGGTGCACCTGGGGTATGGTCCATGACTCCTCCTTGGGCGCGAACCCAGGACCTTGTGCATATAAAGCAGATGGGCTAACCACTACACTATGGAGTCACCCCCTCTTTCCCAGTTTTGAATAGCAAAGAAATAAGAATTTTCAGACTCATAGCTTTTGTAACTTTAATCTCTCAATTATATTTTTGTATGTAGATGTTTTCATACATAATTGTCTCAGTGTTGGAGTGATAGGCAGTATGACTAAGCCAGACTTCCTCCCTCAATAAAAGAGAGAAAGTAACTTTAGTTTTAGCTTGGACCTTATATCTTTTGTGATATACACTAATTTTTTTGTTTGCTTTCATGCCTCCATGATAAAATAGACATAGCCTTTTTTGGTAGTTAAAGCAAGCCATTTAAACCTGAAATTTTTCTCCTTTCTCTCTTCCTTCCCCAATTCTAGGTGGGATTGGAGAAAATAGCGACGGAGGACACCAAGCTCGTGTACATGACAACTGGAGTCCTGCTGCAGAAGATCGTCAGTGCCAAGAGCCTGATGGAGTTCACGCACATCTTCATCGACGAAGTGAGTGCTCGCGTCCCACGGGGAAGGCCGAGCGGCTGCTGCCAGGGCCCTCTGCCCGCAACGGGGCAGCTGGCTCTCTGGGTCTCTGTCTGCTTGCTCTACTTAGAATGTTGACTTCCTGTGTTTATTCTTTGCCCCACAGCGCCTGTGGGGAGGCTGAAGACTACAGCCGAGTTCCTCCTCAGGGCAGGGTGGGCCCAGGACAGCCCCCGGCCGGGTTTGGCCCCTGGCTTCTAAGTTGTCATTGGCATGCAGTTTTGCCCATTGTCTGTGGTGGCTGCTGGGTTACAGCAGAGGGACGAGTAGTGGGGACAGAGACTGTGTGTCTTGCAGAGCTGTAGGTGTTGACTGCCTCTTATAGGAGGTCCGCTGGCCTGCTTCCACGTGTTGGCCACAGCAGGCGGCGAAGGAGCGCTAATCGTATGCAGCTGTTTTCAGGGCTTGACAGATACTTTCCATGTAGTCAAATGAGGACAATGGTATCTTTAAAAAATCAGTAAGTACAAGATAGTGACCTGTTCACTTTTCTTAAAAAAGCTCTCATGAAGCATGGCGAACTTCGTCTTTGTACCGGGCTTAGCGCTCTGGCCCTTTCAGTAGCGAGGGACTAGCAAGCTGACGTGGTTTGTGAGTCAGGAAGGGGTGTTTCGGGGTGGGGCCGTCTCAGACACCTGTCCCAGGAGCTCTGGGAACACCTCACGGCCAGCCCTTGGGTTTTAGCCTCCCCAGGAGCGACGCTTTGGGAAGCTTTGCTTCTTGAAGAAAGGCAGCCGCTGGCCAGAGAACAGGATTTGTGGACGGTCGCGTTGCGCCTGGGCCCCGTGCCTGCCTGGGGGCGCCCGTCTGCGTGTGCTCATCAGTGCCGTGGAGCGTCCCACAGTCAGGCAGAGGGACGCGCTGGCCATCCTGTCCCGTGACTTGGTGGTAGACGGCTGTGGGCTTCGGGAGAGTGGAGGGAGGGAAATGCCCTGGTGTCGTTCTCGGCAGATCAGCGTGGTGGATGGCACGGTTCGGAGGTCTCCCTTAGGACTTCTGGCAGGTGTGGCTCTCTTTAGAGTAGGCGGAGAAGAAGCCCAGAGGCGGTGGCGGTGTGCCCACCGCACGCTCGCAGTACCTGTCGGTCGTGGAGCCTCCCCTGCGAGGTGCTTGGGGCTCAGCCGCCCATGCCCCGTACGTCCCGTCTAGCACGCACACACACGTGACGAGGACACCACGCCCTCACCGCGCTGCTGACACGCGCTACCTGCAGCTGTGCCATCACGTCGAACAGAAGCGGAGTGTTCTCTGCAAGAGCTCGCCCTCCCAGGACGGGAGGTGGCAGGGATCTGTCTGGTCACCCTGTGACGGCAGCACCCTGCTCTGCTACTGTATCCCCGGCCCCAATAGTCATTTGCTTAAGGAACGAATGGATTGGACGTAGTACTGGGGGCGCAGACTCTGCTGAAGTGTGTACGTCCATGTGCTACGGGGACGGGCCACTGGCAGGGAGGGGGCTGTGGGGTCCTCAGAGGGCGGGAGGGGGAGGCAGGGCCCGTGGGGTCAGAGCTCTGGGGTGGGGGGTCCTGTGTTCTCAGCACTGACCGGAGGTCACTCTGGAGCTTTCACCACTGAGAGTCCTTCTTTCTTGAGTAGGAGACAGGTTGTGTGTGCGCGTGGAGTGTTTTGGAGCCTGGCGTTAGGACGAAATAAGAATTAGACTACAGTGGCCCGTTAGGGTCGCCAGCCGTTACCGTGAACGTTAGATACTTCCATGGCTGGCTCGCCCTTGTCTTTCCTCCACCCTCCTTTCCCACCCTTCCGCTTCGGTGGGAGGCGGGGGACATGGGAAGGCCTGACTGTCCAGGGCACGACCAGGGGAGAGACGACCTCCTTTCAAGCTCAGTAGCTCCTCTCCATTTCAGCGGAGAAATGGCTCAGGATAGAACCTTACCATCTCCTTGTGTGCTGAGGTATCTTGACTAAGGGACAGAAAGGTAGCACCATGTCCTGGCCCTTTACTGCAAGCTGGCTCTGGGTGAGGGCAGGCCAGGGTGGCCGAGCTGGCTGTAGATCCTTAGATAGCTCGGCCTGGTGGTCTCTATCTGAGGAGGGCCATGAATGAGCGCCTGAATTCTCCAGGCTGAGCTAGTTCTCCACGGCCAACCCTTCCCACCCTTGGGAACTGCAGGCCAGTGTGTCAAGGGACATGTCCAGCCAGGCAGGACACAGCGCTGCCTGGGCACAGCTTCTGCTCTGTCCTTACTCGCTAAAGCAACAGTGTGACTTGGGACCGTGCGGAGGTGTGTGGTACGCAAGGGGTGGCCTAGGGAGGTTGGTCAGTGGTTCTTAGTGCTGGGGACATGTGGTTTGTGGGTCTGTGTTCTTTGCTTCCTCTTGGCCAGGAGTGACATCAGGAATAGTAGCAGCCCCTCAAGGAGCCGTGTTGAGCAGAAAGCGCTGACTCACCTGCAGGCTCTGGGGTGCGCCACTAACCGCTTCCGTTCGTCCGTCTGTTCAGCGATGGTGTGCCTTGCTCGATGCCATGTGGGGCGCCCGATCCTTATTTTTTGTAGGTACACGAGAGAACTGAAGAAATGGATTTCCTGCTGTTGGTTGTCCGCAAACTTTTAAGAACAAATTCACGTTTTGTGAAGGTAAATTTGATTTTATAAATAACATACTTAGGATTAAGGCTTATTAATTAGTTTTGTGTATTCTTATTTTAACAGAAACAGTGACTTAAATTTCACTGTCATGTGCAGTACTCCAGATCTTGCTGGCAGGCCAGCTCAAGGGCACTGTCCTAGGAACAGAGTGGGATGTGCTTTGGTTACTATGCTGCGAGAGTCTAAGTTTTCCAGGCTGCAGAATATGGCCTTATAATCGTTGACTGTAATGAAACGCTGGGCATTAGAGCACTGCTTTCGGTTGAATGAGCGCTCCGATTTAGAGCTGCGAATAGATCTATAATCTCTGTTTTGAAAATAGCGCCAAAGCACGTTGAAGTTTCAGAACAGTTAGACACGCTGCGGGTTTCGAGACTTCATGGGGAGCTAACTGAGATTCCGGGGGTGGGGGACGGTAAGCATCGTTCACATCTTACCTGCCCTGACGGAAGGGCGGGCACAGCGAGGCTTTGTCGCGGGCATGCTGTGGGTCCTGGGGCGGCCTGCTGCGCTCCCTGGAGGTCTTTGGGCGGCAGCTTCACAACGTCACTACATCACCGTCACCGACGGCTGCAGGACTCGCTGTTAATGGGAAGCAGCTGCTTTCTCAGTCACGAAGTTTCCGTCCTGTCTCCCAAGTGTTCCATCTAGTTCATCCTTTAGGGAAACTCCCCCCACCCTCCCCAAGATGGGACGGATCAGCCTCAGGTTTCATATTCTCAGCTGGTGGGACAAACAAGTGGAACCTGCCATTGGCAATGTGTTGTCTTATTGCTCGAGATGATTGTAAAATGATGAGAATTTGGCTACTACACTTCTCTGTGGAATTTTAACTTAAAGATGACATAAAGATTGTTCAGTCAGAGCTTTTCTTGACTGTCATTTTACGACTTGTCATTTTTGCTTTAAGACAATGACTCCATTACATGTTTTCTTAGTTTTCAGTAGTCAAGAAAGTTAAGAGTGCAGTGGATTTTTAAAAAATTATCCACTGCTGAAGAAAAGGTGGTCAGGAATTTGCACCTACTGTCTAAGTAGCAAAGTGGCTTATCAGTTTCAACATTCTCATGATTTATTTAAAAATATATGAAGCAGAATGTTTTCTAAATCTAGAATCTTATGAGGTATATGTAGTTGGACCAAGAAATTGAAAGTCAAGTTCTAGATGGTTTTGTAGTAAGTTTTTTGAAACTCGAAAATTCCTTTCCCATTACTTTTTAAAAAAAGAGCGCTGTCGTCAGAGGCCGAGGTGCAGAAGCCACATGGGCCTCAAGTCTCCCCTCCCGCTCCCCACTCGGACCTGTAGAGGTCCCTGGCTCTGTGCCATGCCCCAGGCCCCTGGCCCTGCTGTCGCTGCTGGCCATGTCACCAGACCCAACCCAAGGGCAAGCTGGACAGACGGGTATCTTGGGCAGGCTGCAGACTTGCCTTGGCAGGTGGAGGAGAGGCGAGGGCCACCTGGGTGAGGGAGGGAGGGCACACGAGGGGAGGCTGCTGTAAAGCCCACGGCGCCTTGAGCCTTACAGGTTGGGCCTCACGTTTGCATCACTTACTGTCGGGATGTGTCTCTTGGGGTCTCTCTACACTGCAGGTGGCTTCTCAGAGCCTCCTTTCCAGCCTTAGGCATGACATCTCAGAGTGCATTCTGGTCGCTATGGTTTTACCATTTGCATCGACATTCAGAGAGAATATAGATACGTTGTCTACCCGGTAGCTGTACCGATAATGTGTACATTTTACTTTCTGCTGAGACCGGCACTGCAGAAGTCCTCGTTGCCAGATGCACGGGGCGGTCGGTAGCCATCGGATAACTGTGTCACCCCTGCTTAGCGTTTTGGAGACTGGCGAGTGACGCCGCTCCTTCGCGATGCCGTCACCTCCTCCGGGACATGTCTGATGTGCCGAGGACGCAGCTTCTGGCATTCTTGGCTATGTTGCTTCGGGATATTGTCCCACGTTTGCTTTTTGGCAAAACCGAAACGTGCAGTCAGGCGGGCCCTGCTGGTCCCGGCAGCCCCCGGGCTCTGGGCTGAGGCCCGCGGTTCTCCGGCCCCCGCCTCCCCCGGTGCACGCATCCGGCACGCACGCAGAGGTGCAGCAGCCGTGCGGGCGAAGCTTTCGTTCATGGGAATGGTTGTAGCTTTGCGGGGAGTACGCAGTTTCTCACTTGATAGAATCGAAGAGAAATAGTAAAAGTTCGTATCTCTGAGCATTCTTTCAACTGTAGTCGTTTGTTTCACACTAGAGATTAAATCAGTGTCCTGTGAAAAGTCCCAAGAGAGTTAGCAAAGCAGAGCCCAGTCCTGGGATTTAAAAAGTGCCCCATCCAGTTAGTCATTAGCGTTTGTTTATTTCTGTGGCCTCTCACTCCTAGGTAGTCCTGATGTCAGCCACCATCAACTGTAAAGAGTTCGCAGATTACTTTGCCGTTCCCGTCCAGAACAAGATGAAGCCCGCACACATTTTCGAGGTGGAGGGGCAGCCACACTCCATTGAAGAATGCTACCTCGGTGACCTGGAGCACATTCACCACGGCCGGGTAGGTGGGGCGCCCTGCGTCCCTGAGGGAGGACGGGACCACGCACGTCTGCGCTTGGTCCGACCTGCGCTCTGCAGCTGCTGGCGAAGGCTCTTGGAAGTGGTAGTGGAGCCTGGAGATGGCCGGAAGTGGAACTGGGAGGGAGTGGGGTTCGGGATGGGGGCGGGGGCCCCTGCTTTATTGTCTTGAACTGTGGGCCTGATGAGCTCGCATTCTGTGGGTCCCTGTGAAAGGGACCCGAGCTGGCTTTCGGCTTCGTTGATGTAGAAAAATAAAACGTTAGATTTTGTTCAGCTACAAAATCACAAATTCAGTGGAGGGTGGGATGTCATTTACTTTGCTAAAACTGAAATTTTCTACTATAAGTCATATTGCTCCGAACTGAAGGAGGATCATGTTGTGGTGACAGTTAAGAACTGTGATGACAACCTGTTCTTAGGACAGTCGCAGTCGATGTAAAAGTGTTTTCGGATGGGGGATACGTTACAGGATTTGAAGCGCAGAGAGAGTAAGCAGGTGTACGGTGGCTTCTCTCTGCCGTCCTGTCTGCCCAGCCCCGCCCCAGCAGGAGGGAGCGCTGCTGTTGTTTCTGATGGGTTCTCCCGCAGGCTTTTGTGTCTGTACAGGCACATGCGAAGGTGGCGTTTCTCTTTTTCACAGAAACGGTAGCGTTCTCTGCACACCTGGTTTTTCCCATGTGTCTTCTCACATCTCTCCGCATCAGTGTCCAGTTTCTTCATTCCCTTTTAAAGCCACCTTCCCCCGCTGGTGTGGAGATACCATTCCTTACCGAATCTCCAGCAGTCCCAGTCTTTTCTTATTAAAAATCGTGCTGCAGAGAACAACTTTGCACACATGGAAGTATATGTTACAGGCCAGGCCACCTCAGCCACAGGGTGGCTGACGCTGTGTGGGTGGGGGCTGTCCTGTCCTGGGGGGGGGTGAAGTTAGCGCCACCTGGCCTCCACCCACTGGGTGCCCTTTGTGACAGCCGGAGATGTTTTAGACGTCCCTGGGGAGTGGGATGCCCTGCAGACGATATTTTTAGTTGAGGTGTAGGTACAGTGAGTGACATGCAGAGGAGAGCCACCGCCCAGCCCCGCACCTCCGGCACCCCATCACGATGTTCCGCCTTCTCGGGTTTCAGCTTTCTCCTCACCTCCTGGAGGAGCCCGTGATAACGAAGGACATCTACGAAGTTGCCGTCTCCCTGATCCAGATGTTCGATGACTTAGACATGAAAGAGAGTGGGTAAGAGGCATTTTTAATTAGGTTATTTGTTTTCTAATGGTTGAGTTTGAAGAGTTCTTACATTTTTTGGATATCAGTCTTTTATTTATGTGTCCTTTGCAAATGTTTTCTCTCAGTCTGAGGCTTGTCTTCTCATTCTCTTGAGACTCATGGATTTTGATTCATTTAAAGTGTCAAAGTTAATTATGGTCAGATTTCTTTCTTGATGATCAGTTGTCCGAACGTTGGCCAGTGGGAACCATTTGATCTGGCTCCTGTGTTGTGTGGCACATGGCATTTACTTGTTTTCTGTCACAGGATGCCCCAGGCTAATCACCTTGTCCTTCCTCTGCAGTAGGTCAGGAAGCACCCGTGTCCCCTGGGAACTGGGCCCTTGCAGTGAGGGGCATTGTAGAGGTCACGTCTGGGATCACTGCTCCTAAGTCTTTGTAGTGGGTAGAGCTGGAAATATGCTTTTAAAATATTACAGATTCATGTTGATATTTCAGCCTAGACTTAACAATGTTTTTACCTTAAATTTTCACTTTTATTTTTAGTTCTTTTTCTTAAACCCTGAAACTTTTGGTTGCTAAGGACATTATTTACTTGTTTTCCTCTGTAATGTGATAATAAAACAGCTTCAAAAGTATAGCACTGATATTCCTTCTAAAACTAAGCCTCCTGGGTGACATACGGGACTTCCTCAACGTTCCTGAGTCGGTGTTGACCTTCGCTGTAACTCCCTCCCGCCTGCTCCTTCGGTTTGCTTCGTTATTGTTTTCTGTCTTTATAAGTTCAATAGTTAATCCTTTTATTTTCCTCCTTTCATTTTGTTGATATAAATATTGAATCAGTGATTTTTTAAATCTGGTCACTTCTGTGATTGTGTCCCCTGTATTCTGGTGTGTAGCGTTTTTGAGACAGTCTAAAGTTTGTCATATACTCCTTTTTATGACTGAGCCCTGCGCCATTATGTGGCTGGACCCCGTCTTGTCATCTCCTTTGAGGCGGAGATTTGGGTCGTTCCTCCTTTGGCCGTCGTGAGAATGCTGCTGTGAGCTCTGTGTATACATTTCTGCGCAGACGTGTCTCTTCATTTGTCTCGGGTGCCTGCCCAGGAGTGGCATTTCTGGGTCACACAGTACCTGTGTAAGCGTTTGAGGGCCTGCCAGGTTGTTTTCCAGAGCAGCTGCGTCACCTGACATCCCACCAACAGCTTCTGAGGCTTCTGCTTTCTCCGGCACTGGTGGGCATCTGGCTTCCTGCTTCTGGCCGTCCTCGAGGGTGTGAAGTAGTAGCACATTTCAGTTTTGATTTGCTTCTCCCTGATGACTAATGAGGTTGAGCATCTTTTCATGTGCTTGTTGGACATTTGTGTATCCTCGTTAGTAGACATATGCTTTATATTTATTTATACTTGGAGACAGAAATCCTGTGTCCATTTTTGACTGTTTTTCTTCTTATGAATTGTTAGAGTTCTTTATATGTTCTAAATACAAGCCTCTTATTAGAGATTTGATTTGCAAATATTTTCTTCCATTCTGTGGGTTGTCTTTTTATTTTCTTGATGGTGTTCTTTGAAGCACAAAAGTTTTTCATCTCGAAGTTCAGTTTGTCTGTTTCTTATTTTGTTGCTCTGGCTTTTTGGTGTCATAGCTAAGAATCCATTGCCAAAAGAGGGTCATGAAGATTTTCTCTGTTTTTTTTCCTAAGTGTTTTATAGCTTTGGCTCTTTCATTTAGAGCTTGGATCCATACTGAACTACTATTGGTGTGTGTGTGAGGCGAGGGTCCGTCTTCATTCTTTAATGTGTGCTGTTCAGTTGTCCCAGTACTGTTGATCGAAAGGCTCTTCTGTCCTCATGGACAGCGCTGATACCCTTGTTGAAAATTAGTTGACATATATGTGCGGGTTTATTTCTGGACTCTTCATTCTTTCCATTGGGCTGTATGCGTGTCCTTGTGGCAGGGTGCCACAGTGTCTTGAGTACCATCGCTTTGAAGTAATTTTGAAATTAGAAGTGTGAGTCGCCCCGACTTTATCCTTTTTCAGGATTGTTTTGGTTATTCTGAGTCTCTCACAGTGCGATGTGAATTTTGAAATCGGCTTGTTAATTTCTACAAAGAAGCCAGCTAGGACTCTGAAAGGCTTTGTGTTGAGTTTGAAGATCAGTTTGGAAAGTATTGCCATCTTAACAATATTAAACCTTCCAGTCCATTAAAATGGAATGTTTTTCTGTTTCTTTAGATTTTCTTTAATTTTTTTCAACAATGCAGTAGTTTTTAGTGTGTAAGTCCTGCAGTTGTCTTGTTAAATTTGTTCCTTTGGTGTTCTCTTTGATGCTATCGTGAATAAATGATTGATTTCACATTCAGATTGTCCACGGCAAGCGTACAGAAACAGCGGTTTGTTTTTGAGTGCTGGTTCTGCGTCCTGCAGCCCTGCCGAGCTCGCTCACTAGCTCCAGGAGGACTCCTAAGGTTTTCCACTTGCAGAGTTGAGTCATCTAGGAACAGAGACAGTTTTATGTCTTTCTTTCCAATCCAAATGCTTGCGTTTCTTGTTCTTGCCCGAGTGCCCCGGAACCTCGGGTACAATGCCGAGTTGGGGCGGTGAGATGGACAGCCAGTTCTGCCAGTTAGTGTGATGTTCCCTGGGGGCTTTTCCTAGATGACCTTTTTCAATTTGAGGAAGTTCACTTCTGCTCCTAATTTGTTGAGTGTTTTGTTATGAAGAGTGTTAGGATTTGTTAGATGCCTTTTCTGTGTCTGTTGAGATAATCGTGATTTCCTTCCTAACAATGTGCTGTGTACGGTGCTTGGTTTTTAGGTGTTGGATCCACTCTGCACCCGGGATAAATCCCACCTGGTCACGTGTCCAGCTCTTTGTCTCTGTTGCCAGATTTGGTTTGCGAGTGTTCTGTTGAGGATTTTTACGTTCACATTCCTAAGCGGTATTGATTGGTCTGTAGTTTTCTTGTGCTGTCTTTGGTTTTGGTGTCAGGGTAATAATGCTGGCCTCGTAGAACGAGGCGGGAAATGGTCTGGTTTTTGGCAGAGTGTGTGAAGAATTGATGTTCCTCAAATGTTTGGTGGATTTTAGTTAGGAAGCCATTGATGTCTGGGCTTTTCTCTGGGGCGGGGGGAGTTTAAGATGACCAAGTCAGTCTCTTGTCACAGGGCTATTCAGATTGTTGTCTTTTTCTTAGGTCAGTTTCGGGAGTTTATATCGCTTTAGGAAAATGCCGGTTTCAGAGAAGCTGTCTAATCCGTTGCATACAGTTGTTCACGGAGTTCCTTTATTACCCTGTTTTCCCCTGAAGTCAGTGGTAGTGTCCCCTCTCTCGTTTCTGATTCTAGTAATTGAGTCTTCTCCCTCTTTCTTCTCCTGGTGGCTCTGGCTAAGGACTTGTCAGTTCTGTTGCGCTTTTCTGAGGGCCGGGTGTCGGCAGGAGGGGTCGCCCAGCTGTACGGGTGGCTCGGGGTTCCGTTCTCGCCACGTGAGCACTGCCGGGGTGGGGTGAGCGGATGAGACCTCGCTCTGTGAAGTGCTTTCTAGTAATATTTTGGACTCTGGAGATTTTAAATTTTGCTTGTCGTTATTTTAAACATTTTGTATTTTGAGGTTCTGGATTATAGTAACTAAATTTCAAGGAAAATGTTTACCGATAGTGAGTTTTGTAAGAGATCATGGGAGTCTAGAGGCTTGTGGTCCCCAAAAGGGTGTGGGGCTCTGGACAGTGGCTCATCCTTGGGACTCCGCGTTTTCTCCTGTAAGAGAGAGAGCGTTACACTGCGTGATGTAAGAGCCTTTCGGGACCAAAATGCAGATCAGGGTTCTGGAAGAACAGCGGCCGTCTCAGGCTGGATTAATATTTGTCATGTCCCATTTTAACAGGAACAAGAACTGGTCGGGCGCCCAGTTTGTGTCGGAGCGGAGCAGCGTGCTGGTGTTTCTGCCAGGTGAGTGTCGCCCTCCATGACTTGGAATCGTGATGCCCCGGATGCAAGCCAGGTGTGCGTGTAGCACACGTGATGCAAAACGGTGCTGGCCATTGTATGGGTTTATTGTTTTAGACCCTGAGAACACGAACGAGTGTGATTGTCAGTTCGACTTCTCACTGTGATCTTCGCATCGCTTAAGAGAGTGATAATGAAGAGTTTAATTTTTTGAAGGCAGTGTCTTACTCCCTTCAAAATTTTCAGTAAAATACTTGACTTTGTTAAATTTGGTTTGTTACATGTTTATGTTTATAAATGTGAAGTGATTGTCACCAGTCTGTGTTTAAGGCTTACTTACTGACATTTAAGTGTCATTAAGTCATAGCGTTGCTGTCCTCATACCATGAGAATCATCAGGTAGTCCTGGAGTTTCCTTCTAACTATTTGAGAAAAGGAGCGTTTAAAATACCTGAAAAGATTAATTTACGTGAAATTGTACGTTTTCAAAATGACGTCTTTGATGATTTTAAATGAAGTAGAATAGCTTGGTGAAACACGGCCGCAGTTGGGGTCGTCATTGAAGGTGATACATAGCGCGTGTGCGCGTGTGCGCGTGTGCGCCCGTGCTGGTGGAGACCGGGAGGCATGGATGACGGTTCCTCATCTAGCTTTGGAAAATAACCCATAGGTTTAACACTTGGATCACGTTTTGCTTTGGTTGCTGTGGATTTTGTATCAAGGAAGCACCATTAGCTGTCAGTGGGGTCGAGTTGCATTCGCCCCAATAAATGTTTATCAAAAACTTCTTTGTGCACAATGCTGCATTAAGGGAGAAAATGACCAAAGCAGAGCTAAAGAGCCCTCACATGAGATACTTTTCAAGTGCTAAACATCGCCAGGTTCAAATATTTATAAATGACATTTTACAGTTTCATTTGTTGTCTTTCTGTCAACGTGTTTATGATATATTATTTCACTAATTGATCATTTATGAAGAGTTCTATATGAGTTTCCTAGAGCTGCTGTAACAAAGCGCTACAAACCGGAAGGCTTAAAACAACAAATATATTCATTCACAGTCTGGAGGCTGCAAGTTCAAAATCAAGGTTTCACTAGGACTGCGCTCCCTCTGAGGCTCTGGGCAGAATCCTTCCTTGCCGATTCCAGCTTCTGGTGGCCGTCAGTCCTTGGGCTCCCTGGCTCGTGGCCGCATCGGTCCGTCTCTGCCCGCTTCTCATTGCATGGTGCTGCCCCCATGTTTGTCCATCTCGCTCCCCTTCTGTCAAGGACAAGGTCCCGCTGGACGCAGGGCTCCTTCCACTGCAGCATGACCGCAGCCTAACTGAATGTGGCTGCGGTGCTGCTTTTGGCACACGGAGGACGCTGACTGCGTTTAGGGTTTCAGCACCTTTTGGGGGTGACAGTTTAGCCCGAAACAGGTTCAGATATCGATGATTCAGGATGAGGCAAAAGCATGTGTAAGCTTCATTTATCGCTAAGCATTGTTTAGACCTAATGAGAGTATTTAGCATATCTTTGCGACCAAGAGTTTTTTAATATTACTTTTTGGTTGTAAAATTTTGCATGAGCATCATAGGAAATTTGGAAAATCAGTGGGAAAAGAAAAGAAATGTAAAATTATTCGTCTGAGCCACATTCGCAGGCCGTTGCTGTTGGGGAAAGAAGACCCTGCGGGGGTCTAGGTTTTCACACCTTTTTGGGTTACCGTTAGTCTCTGTCGTTGGACGTGTTCACTCGCGGTTCTGATAAACTTAGGTGAAGAGGATAAAAACGTTGTGAAATGAGTTAGTGGAGCTTTCCTTGAAAAGGATGTCATCTTAATTCAAAAGTTGGTTTTTAGCAATAAATACAAATCTTTTTCTCCCCACCCGTCTTCTTCTCTTCCCTAGGTCTGGCTGAAATAAACTGTATGCACGAACTCCTCACAAACATGGTTCACAAAAGGTGTGTTTAAGTGACACTGCTGGGCTTTCACTTAGAGCCACTGCACTGTCTCGGCCTTAAGTCACTCCGGTGACCTCGGTGCCTAGTTCTTCCTTCAGTAAGTTCACGCGTGTATCTGTCCCTCACGGGCGTTCTGTTCCACCGATTGTCTCAGACTGCAGGTGTACCCGCTGCACTCGAGTGTGACTCTGGAGGAGCAGAGCAGCGTGCTGCTGAGCCCGGTGCCTGGGTACAGAAAGGTAGGTGGGCCAGGCCGTCCCGCCGCGCTTGCTGCCTCCGCGAGGCCTGCGCCTGGCTCCCTGTGCTTCTGGCTTTCCACAGGCTGCTGAGTGATTCACCAGGGAGGGGCAGTGACATTGTGTTGGGGTGTAGGGGTCAAGAGGGCACATGTGGAATTGGACAGATGACTTGCGTCTCTGTCACCTGTGTTTGTGTGACTTTGACCAAATCACTTCTCTAAGACAGTTCCCTCATTTGAAAGTTGAGCCGATAACATTTACCTTGCAGAGCTCTGAGGAAGGTTAATTATAACAATCCATGTCTGCCCTTTGGTCGCGGTGGCACGTGGTGGCACTGCAGTGCGGGACGCGGGGTCGGTGTCCGGCGGGGGTGATAGTACTGGTAACGGTAGCTGCTGTTTACTGAGCACTGGGTTCAGGCGGGATCAGTCCCAGGCATTTCACACTCGCGCTCCTGTGATCACCACCGCAGCCCTAGGCCGGCTGCCACGATAATTAGCTCCATTTTCTGCGGGGAAGAATGAGGTAGGGAGCTGGGCCAGCCCCAGCCCACACTGGGGCAGAGCAGATCTGGCTGCGCTGAACTGCCCCCGTCCCCCCCCGCCTCCCAGAGCCCTTGAACTATGAGATGTGTGCAGAATGGGAGAATATGAGTCTAGTATTTACATTATGCAACTTTGAAATAATTTTTGAGTTTGAGGTTTCATTAAACTTTGCCTGATTATTTCCAACATATAGTTAGATTCTTTTTTCTTTTTTGATGTTTGATAGATTATTCTGTCTACCAACATTGCAGAGAGTTCCGTCACAGTTCCAGATGTCAAATATGGTAAGATACTTCTCTGTGTTCCCCATAACATGAGTCATAGTAGTCGCAGGCTTATTTGCCCCCAGGAATTGTGGGAACACAGCTCTGAGGAAGTGATATTTGAACAGGACTTGAACCTAAAGAGGAGCAAGCCGTGGAAAGATGGGGTTCAGGAGCAGGGAACAGCTGAGGGACAGCAGGTGGCCACGTGGCCGGAACAGACAGACGGGAAGGTGCTAGGCCTCTCTCTGTGCCAGGGGTGGTGTGGAACCGGGGTGGCAGTCAGCAGGCACCTTCGTTCTCATGACGCATTCGGGGCGAGCATTTGAAAGAGGGCGAGTAAATAAATCAATGGAAACACGTAGTAAGTTAAACCTAAACCACAGTGTGTCTACGAGGAAGAAGTAGGGGAGTGTGGGGCGGGGGGTGTTAGGAATAGAAATCAAAATTTCAGTTTTGCTGGATTAAAAAAAAAAAAGAAAAAGAAAACTTTGGCCTTTACCAAGTGAGATGGCGGGCATTCCAGAGCTCCAAGATGAGGGCGACGGAAGCGAAGGCCTGCTCAGCAGGGTCCGTTGGGGCGAGACCGAATGAGGCGAAGGAGAGGAAGGGAGGTGACCCGGGCATCGCGGTGGCCGTCGCCCGTGGCTGGCATTCTGGGGTGGGGCGGGCGTGGCCGGAGAGTGAGGGGTGTCCTTTTCAGGTAGGCTGTGAAGGTGGAGCCCATGGGGCTGTCCCCAGGGACCTGGTGAGAGGCTGGGGGTGGCCCTCCACATTAATGGCCTAAGGACGAGAGAATGGAGCCGTGAGGTGCTGGGGACAGGAAAGGGCGGGGACAGGGTGATGAAGATCCTGGACCTGGCCATGGGAAGTTCCAGACATTGCGGAAGCAGTTGGCTGTGTGAGCCTGGGGACCAGGGCAGAGGAGCAGGTGGGGCGGCTGGGACGGGCAGGAGGAGACAGGAGCCTCCAGCAGCCAGTGATGTTCTGGAAACCGAGTTGGAAAGCATTTTGAGGAGGCCGGGTGAGCGGATGTGCCCTGCTGATGACAGGTCATGGGTTTTAGCAGGAGGCCCTCGCTGTGACCTTGATGCACAGGTTCAGTGGGGGCAAAGCCTGGTGGGAGTGGCCTCCAGAACGAAGAAGGATTGGAGACAGGAGGCTAGAGGACACTCTCGGGGCTCTTGGCTGTAAAGGGAGGGAGGGGGCCTCAGAGGACACAGTCCCTGGGTGGGGAGCAGCCACTTCGTTGGGCCATCAATGGAAGAGGTGCGGGGATGGTCAAAGGAGCCGCTGGCTATGAAGGGGGGAGGGGCTGGCCTCCAGTGGCATGTGGGTGGCTTACCCGCTCACGGTGGAAGGCTGAGGACGGAAGGGCCTGCGAGATGTGGCTGAGGGAGCGTGTGGGGTCTCCATGGCCGCTGCCCTCAGTGAGCTGGAGGGCTGGTGTCAGGTGCGGGTGGCAGTGGGGGAGGGTTAGAGGGTTGGGAAGAGGTCACAGCAGGTGCCCATGGGGCGGGGCAACGAGTCATGGGGTCTTTCCCCACCGACCACCTAGGCTAGTGGCCAGGAGTGGAAAGCGCAGTCAGCCTGCCGGCCGTCTTGTTCGCCCTCTCTGGCCGCTGGGCTGCGTGGTGGGGGTAGACAGCTGGTGACTGGGGCTGAGGTTGAGCCAGACAAGTAGGCCAGAAGAAGGGCCGGGCTTCATGGGACATGCCCCAGGGTGAGCGGAGTGATAGGCGTGGCCTGTGGTTCTGTTAGGAGGGTCTTGGGGCGGAGCTGAGGGGGATGCCACAGGGGGAGAGTGAGGCTTGACCTTGAGGTGGAGGAAGGGTCATGACTGTGGGTGTGGCCATGGGAAGGGGGTGCTGGCGTCTTGGAAGGTGAGCCCCTTGGAGGAGAGGCGTTCACAGGATGGAGCGGCTGGGTGCTGCTACCGCTGGTTCTGTGGGCGCAGAAATCACCCAGTGTTATGGCGGAGGGGCTGGGAGCACGAGAGCCCTGGCAGCCGGGCAGGGGAGCAGTTAATGGGGGGAGGTTTCCCGGGGTGAGGACACCTGCCGCCTCTCCAGGCTCAGTGTGAGGGAGTGGGCAGCGACAGCACCCTGCCCGCAGGGACAGCCCTTTCTGTCATCGGGGCAGGGGGTGGCGGGCTGTCCAAGAAGAGTCGCAGGGGCTTCTGTCATCTGGGTTTACAGGTGAGGACACTGACCACAGAGACCGAGCAACTTGGCCCCAGTCCCCCGCCCGCCCCGCCCCAGGCCCGAGTCCAGCCGTCCAGGCTGTAGTTGCTCCTCTGCGTGGTGCCCGCGGGACGGCTCGTGCAGTCGGGGCGGCTCAGCCTGTGACACGGCAGGTCCTCCGGGGGGCCTGTCGTTTATGCCCAGACCCCCAGTCCTTAGAGGAGAGTGTGACCAGTGCATTTCCAGAGGCTTCCGTGTTTCGGTTTGTTTCATTACTGTGCATTGTGATTATTTCACAATTATTTCTGGTTAGCATGGTGTTTACATTCCTTTTTTTAAATGACAGTTATAGATTTTTGTTTGACTAGAACTCTGGTTTGTGACGAAGACACGAATTATCAGAGTCTGCGATTGACTTGGGCCTCTAAAACCAGCTGTAATCAGAGAAAAGGTAAGACGTTTGCGTCCTGGGCACAATTCCGAGTTGGTGGCACATCCAGATGTCTCTTTACAGTATTTGTTTTTTTGTGTGTTTGCTCTCAACTCAGACGCTTCCTTTATTGGAATGGGCTTTAAGGTCTTAGCAGCTGTGTCTCGTGTCGTGAGACTCTCCACTTACACCCGTGTGTCCCCTCATGCCCAGTGAGCCAGGTGACAGTTCTTGTACGTAACGGAGAAGTGTCCTGCCATCTCCAGCACTGTCGTTTTTCTCAGTGAATTTATAGTTTCCGGTGAATAGTTACGGGAGCCAAGCAGATCTCTTTGTTACCTTTTGGTGACCCTTCCTGTGACGTCTGTCCGAGTTTTGATCTTTCCAGGGTTGTTTTCCTGACTGGTGGCACAGAGAGTTCCGAGTCAGCTGGATCAGGCTCCAGGGGACAGCGCGCTCGGTGCCAGGCTCATGCTTCCTTCAGAGCCTTTTGGGGAGGGCGAGGAGGGGCTGCTCTGAGCGGCCCTGCGGGCAGTGGAGCCAGCTGCCCCCAGTGGAGCAAGACAGCACTTCTCAGGCGCCCCACGGGGACGCCGGACGCCGGGCGCAGCTGTTTGCTGTGCTTGCTCATTTCATTCCCCACGAGGTAGCGCACTCTTCGTGTCCCCGTTTCTCAGTGACACGGCCAAGACCTGGGAGGAGTGACCTGCTCAGAAGGAGTAATACCGGGAGGCGGTTGGGATGGGGACTGGAACCCTGGACTCTGGCCTCAGCCCACAGGCCTGCCCACTGTGCTTTGTCCCCTCTTTTGATGTGACTTGCCTAGAGGGGTGAGGAGGGACTGTCAGGTGTGGTCACAAGGCCTCGCACGTTGGAGAACCTTATGTTGAGTCGTGTAGTTACAAAGCTAAGTGGGAAAGGATGTAAATTATGATCGTTTTTCTGTGTTCAACCTCCCCCACTGAAACCCCCGAAACAAAAACTGTGCTTTGAAGAAATGACAGAAGTAATTGTACAGACGCTGGGAGCTGTCACCTTTGTCTATTTTTTGGTATGTTCAGACTTTCTATAATTAGAAAAATTTGCCCTCATTGGAAGTTGCAGAAATAGTACAAAGTCCCCCGAACCCTTAGCAGTGACATTTCACGTCACTTAGCACAGAGGCAAAGCCAGGCAGCGAGGCATAGCGCCCGACCACAGATCGCTCCCCACGCACTCGTGCGTGTGCCTCTCAGTATGACCCCTGGCAAGTCCTGTAACCACCCATCACGACCAGGGCACAGGCCGGTCCCCCTGCCTTGAAGGAAGGAGCTCCGTGGTCACGGCGCCCTCGGCTCTCTGCCCACTGCAGCCCGTCTCTCACGTCTACTGTGTGGTTGTTTGGAGGGTGTCGTATGAGTGCGGTCACACAGCGTGTCCCCTCTGGAGACTGGCTTGCTTCACGGTTCCTTCTTTTCGTTGCCAAGGAGGGTTTTGGGTGCCATCCACCTGTTGGAGGACGTTTGGCACTTCCCAGTTCTCGGCAATGGCAAATGAAGCCACGTGCGCACTGGGGCCCGGGTCAGTGTGGGGGCCTGCCCTCATCTCCCGGGGACCCAGGCCCAGGGAGCACTTGCTGGGTCTGCGCTGAGTCTGTGAGAAGCCACCCGGGCCGCTCTGGTGGTGGCAGTGCCATTTCAGGTTCCCTTTAGCAGGTCTGAGACCCGTCCCTTCCACACCCTCGTCGGCACCGCTGTGAGCACAGGCGTCGCCCTGTGATGTCCGCAGTGACTGGAGGGGTGACCGATCTTTCCTGTGCTTGGTTGCCATCTGTGTCTCCACGGAGATGGATTCGTCTCGTGCCTGTTTTCTGATTGGATTGTTTGTTTTTTTACTTTTGAGTTTTGAGAGTTCTTTATGTAACGTGGATTCTGTCTTTTTTAGATATGTGGTTTACAAACATTTTCTCCCATTTCATTCTGCGGTTTGTCTTTCCATCCTCTTAACGGGGTGTTTCACGGAGAAAGTTTTAAGTTTTGATGAGGTCCACTTTATCAGCTGCCCCTTTTAGGGACTGTGCTTTTGGTGTCATGTGGGAGAACTGTTCACCCAGTCCTCTGTTTTCTTCTAAAAGTTTCAAAGCTTTGTTTTGCATTTACATCCATGATCCATTTGAGTTAATTTTCATCGAGGTGTGAGGTTTGGGTCGAGGTTCACTTTGTCCTTTGCCTGTAGATGTCCAGTTGTCCCTGCCCCAGTGTCCTTCCCCCATGGGATGTCGTCTTCCCCTTTGTGAGATGTCACTGGGAGAGCTTGGGTGGGCCCCTTCCTGGGTTCTTTCTGTTCTTCTGACCTGTTTTCCCGCCACCAGTACCACAGTACTGATTACTGTCTCGTGAAACTTAACGTAAAGCGGACGGATGCCTCCCACCCTTTTCTTCATCTTCGCGATTGTTCCAGCCGTCCTACTTTGCCTTTCCACGTGGATTTTAGGGTACGCTTGTCCATAGCTACTAAAAGTCTTGCTGTGATTTTGATGAGAACTGTGTTAAACCCAGAGCTGCATTTGTGGAGTGTCGAGTCTTGAACAGTGTCTCCATTTATTGATGTCGTCTCTGACTTTGGTCAGCAGCATCGTGTTATTTTCAGCGTATGGATCCTGTACATGTTTTGTTAGATTTACACCTAAGTATTTAATTTTATTTGGAGCAACGGTCAGTGGCATTGCGTTTCTAATTTCGGCTTTCACACGTTCATTACTAGTATACAGAAGTGTGATTAATTTGTGTGTCCGTCATGTATCCTGTGACTTTGCTGAACTCGGTGATCAGTCCTAGGAGTTTTTGGTTTGTTTTTGGTAGTCACCTTGGGATTTTCTGCTTAGACAGTCATGTCATTTGCCAGTGGGGGGGATCTGGACTGCTGGGGGGTGCCTGGAGGGGCCAGCAGTCCAGAGCCCCTCCGTCTTTCCTGACTGTGCATGGGAAGGAAAGCGCCTCCCCGGGCTGCCCCCATTTGTAAAAGCTGGGAACGTAAGGACACCCCCCGGGAGAGCTGACAGGTGGGGCTGAGGGGTGCGTCCTCCACAGCAGAGTGGCATATTCTGCGGCGGTCTCTGCGGGCCGGGCCTGGTCTGAGCTCCTCGCACGTGCTCGCTCAGTCGCTGCGCAGCGCTGTCTTCGCGGTCACCTGTGCAGATGTGTCAGGCGGATGGAGCCGTGAGGGGCCGAGAGTGCGTGACAGCCTCCCGCCCTCGTCTCCCTGCATGGCCATCAGCCACCTCGCTGGAAGGAGCGCAGCTCCTTGTGACGTCGCTGCTCTTGCTTGGCGGCGTCTGAGTCCTCACTGGTGTGGGCCGTGCCCCTGCGGGAGGTGTGCAGTGTGTGCCATCGCGGCTCGGGGCCGAGGCTGCTTTCTCTAGAAGTGCGTCGGGTTTTGTGCTGTGGATTACCGAGTGGAAGTCGGCAGTATGTGTAAGGCTGCAGACACTGACTTACTCTGGAAGGTTCTTACTGACCTGCTCTAGTAGAAGGTACTGAAGGTTTTTCTTACTCTTTAATGGTTATTCGTAAATGTGTCTTTATGCTGGTGTTAATTAATGCCAACGGGCGTGTGACCGTTTCTCCCCCCAAGGCCGTGCCGGACGAGTGTCCAAGGGGTACTGTTACCGCCTGGTACACAGGGATTTCTGGGACAGCGCCATCCCCGACCACGTCATCCCAGAGATGCTGGTAAGTACACTTCAGCTTTACTGAACAGTCTGAGTGATGTCATTTGCAGTGTTGTGTAGTTTCGATTCCAGAAAAATCGCCATCTGACCAGGCTGTGTTGATGGCAGCGGCTTTCGGCAGAGCCGCACTCGCCGCCTGCTGGCTGCGCGTCAGGGCTGTCCTTGGGCTGTCCTTGGACGCAGCGCTTCGCTTTCCTGTGACACTCGTGGAGTTGCCTTTCGCTTTGCTGTCTGTCTCTCTGGCCTCTCTCTGCCCCGCCCTGTCTCGCCCACTTTCCTGCCTTTTCTGCCCGCTCTTTCTCTTCCTTCTCCTTGTCCGTCTAAAATGCTAGTCATGTGACAGTTAACCGGTTTAATCATTTTGTTGTTTCTCAGTGAGTTTTGTTGTTTTCAGCGCTGTCCTCTGGGAAGCACCGTCCTGAAGGTGAAGCTACTCGACATGGGTGAACCGAGGGCCTTGCTGGCGACCGCGCTCTCCCCGCCCAGCCTGAGCGACATCGAGCGGACGGTCCTCCTGCTCAAGGAGGTGGGTCTGCCTGGCCTGCGCTCACGCCCAGAGGGCTAAGGCTCGTTAGATACATTTTACAAATTTTGTGATGTGGGTCTGTCTAAGGCATTTTGTTGTAAATAATCGGCATTTGCTTGAGAAAGCACGTGTGGCGATCAGTTCCTGAGTCCAGACTGCACGCGTGTCGACGTGAGCTCCGCGAGCGGCCGTGCGGCACTTCCGCTCTCTCACTGTGCACGCGCTCCGCTCCCCTCCTTGCCTGACACAGGTCGGCGCGCTGGCGGTCAGCGGGCAGAGGGAGGACGAGAACCCCCACGACGGCGAACTGACCTTCCTCGGCAGGGTGCTAGCCCAGCTTCCCGTCAGCCAGCAGCTCGGCAAACTCATCGTGTTGGGGCACGTGTTCGGGTGCCTGGACGAGTGTCTCATTATAGGTGAGCCACGTGAGGCGCCACATGAGGTGCCACGTGACACTGTGCCGTGCGGGGTGATGCCGGCCGCTCTCGCTGTCTTAACGCGCTTGGTTTTTCTGTTGTAGCGGCAGCTCTGTCTTTGAAGAACTTTTTTGCAATGCCTTTTAGGCAGCATCTTGATGGTTACAGGTATTTCACATTCATATTTTAAAAAGCCACTTTGTTTCACTGGAGTCGAGTGACACTGTTACCCGTTTCTAGGAACAAAGTGAATTTCTCCAGCAACAGTAAGAGCGACTGCATCGCGCTCGTCGAGGCATTTAAAGTAAGTTTTCTCTGTCGCGCTGGGGACGCAGCACCTCAGCCGCCAGCACATGCGCAGGCCACACACCTCCCTCTGTTGAGAGTGTCATGAGGCCCTTGATGTTCAACAGCAACAACGAGCTGTGTTGGGAACCGTAGTTGGGGGCGGGAGCCCAATTTTATGAAGCTGATTGAAAAATTAAATTTGTGAGTTTCCTGTGGTCAAACTGTGTTGAAATTGGACTTAAAAAATAACTCAGTAACCACGAATATATTTTGAAACTCTGGTCCTTTCTTTTTCAGACTTGGCAGAGTTGCAGACAGAGAGGAGAGCTGCGTCATCCGAAGGTACGTGTCTGCGGGGGGCCAGAGGAGACCCGCAGGAGGGCACTCCAGCTTAGCCTGTTGCTGCGCGTGCTGGGCCTGAGGCAGGTCGCTGTGGACAGTCCTCGGTGGCGGCTGGGCAGATGGAGCAGTGACCCGCCCAGGCCTTCTCACTTGCCTGTCCTTTACTGAGCCACTCCCACTGAGCAGTAGCGACCCTCCGTGGGGTCAGGAGCCTCTGGCTGCGAGTGCTCAGTACCTGTGGCGCCCTGGCTGTGCTGGTTGCAGGCCGGGGACCCTGAGGCCTGCTGCTGGTCGCAGCCAGCTCTTAGACAACAGGCCGGAAAGAACTCACCCTGTTAGCTTCACCCCTTTTTTGCATCCGGTTTTCTGTTCTAAACTAATTAGTTTCGAAAGACCGTTGATACGTCTGTCTATGTGTTTAAGTTTAACACGCCTGGATGTATCCCTGCAATAACTATGAGTTAACCTGTTAGAGCTCTCTTTTAAAGAGTCAGCCATGTTGTTTTTCTTGTTGATGTGTATTCTTGTTGGTATATATTCTTAGATGAGATGTACGTATTATGGTAGCTGTTATTTCTGATTTGTTAATTAACATTGAGTATTGTCTTTTTATGTGTTTAAAGGATGAACTTGACTGGGGAAGGTTAAATTACATTCAAATTAAGAGAATTAGAGAGGTAAGTTGGCAATAGTGAGTATTCCATGAAATACGTCCTCTATTTCTAACTTTAGTAAAATTTACATGTTATATATTTACATGTTAATTAGATATATTTATGTGAGATACAACATACATTTTATATAATCCACATATTTATAAGTAATTATATATTATATATTTAAAAGTGATAATATCATCTTTCTCATTCTGAATGTTGTGAACTCGTGTCCTGTCGTTTCTTGATTAGATCTGTGTGTTTGGGTGTGGGGTGGTCCCCAAAACAACCCCCGGGTGCAGTGATTTGCTAGAGAGACTCACAGAACTCAGAAAACTGCGACACGGTTATGGTTTATTACGGTCAAAGGATGCAGGGGAAAACCAGCGGAAGTGGGAGGCGTCCAGGGGGGACGAGAGCAAGGCCGCAGTTGTCCTCTCCCCGTGGAGTCTTGTGAGCACGACGGATTCTCTTGGCGATGATGTGTGGTGACAGGGAAGAACTGCCCACTGGGATGGCTTGGCCGGCCTGGCGTCCAGGCTGCGGGTGAGCGTTGGTCAGGCATGCGGTGCTTGCCCAGCTGACCTTAGTTTCTTAATTTTAGGCCTTTTGAGAGGTCACACTGATACTGCTTGGTTCAAGGCCCCCGCCACACATGAATCACGTTGCTCCCAGAAACTGTTGTACCCAAGGTCTCTGGTAAACAGAGACACTCACGAGGCAGAACATTCCAAGGGCTTAGAGTCCATCCCAGGAGCCAGGGTTTCCCTGGAAGGTGCAGAGTGGACGCCAGAGTTATCCTTTACTGCACAAGTCTCCAGACGCTTAGCCTGTTTTATTGTATTTTCAGAGAACTCACTCTTAGTTTGATTTTATAGTGTAGGTTTTTTGGGGGAAGGGGGGAGGTGGAACTTTGCTTTTTCTGTTAATTTAGTCTTCCACATCTTTTGGTTGGCCGTTTTAGTCTTGCTGAGATGAGTATTTTGTTAATACTTTCAATATTTTTAAGTAAATGCTTTTAAAGCCATGAATATTTTTGTGAGCACTATTTGGGCCATATTCTGTCGATTTTGACGTTCACCATGTCCATCTGTGACTTTTAGTGTTGGTTTCTTGCTTGACTTGAGAGTTTTTTAGAAGAGTATTTGAGTTTCCAGGGAGGAAGAAAGATGTATTTTAAGATATTTTTGGTTAATTTCTGGTTTTATTGCATTTGGTCAGAGAAAGTGACTTGCATAATTTTACATTGATTTTCCATTAGCAAGGTTACATGCGACTACAGCCCTAGAGGACTTCAGTCACATGGAAGTACCCATGCCGACGTGGGACTTCGGTCCCGTGGAAGTGCCCGTGGTGACGTAGGACTTCGGTCCCATGGAAGTGCCCGTGCTGACGTGGGACTTCGGTCCCGTGGAAGTGCCCGTGCTGACGTGGGACTTCGGTCCCGTGGAAGTGCCCGTGCTGACGTGGGACTTCGGTCCCGTGGAAGTGCCCGTGCTGACGTGGGACTTCGGTCCCGTGGAAGTGCCCGTGCTGACGTGGGACTTCGGTCCCGTGGAAGTGCCCGTGCTGACGTGGGACTTCGGTCCCGTGGAAGTGCCCGTGCTGACGTGGGACTTCGGTCCCGTGGAAGTGCCCGTGCTGACGTGGGACTTCGGTCCCGTGGAAGTGCCCGTGCTGACGTGGGACTTCGGTCCCGTGGAAGTGCCCGTGCTGACGTGGGACTTCGGTCCCGTGGAAGTGCCCGTGCTGACGTGGGACTTCGGTCCCGTGGAAGTGCCCGTGCTGACGTGGGACTTCGGTCCCGTGGAAGTGCCCGTGCTGACGTGGGACTTCGGTCCCGTGGAAGTGCCCGTGCTGACGTGGGACTTCGGTCCCGTGGAAGTGCCCGTGCTGACGTGGGACTTCGGTCCCGTGGAAGTGCCCGTGCTGACGTGGGACTTCGGTCCCGTGGAAGTGCCCGTGCTGACGTGGGACTTCGGTCCCGTGGAAGTGCCCGTGCTGACGTGGGACTTCGGTCCCGTGGAAGTGCCCGTGCTGACGTGGGACTTCGGTCCCGTGGAAGTGCCCGTGCTGACGTGGGACTTCGGTCCCGTGGAAGTGCCCGTGCTGACGTGGGACTTCGGTCCCGTGGAAGTGCTCAAGCTGATGTGGGTGGCTCGACCCTTCCTTCCTGTCCCCAGGTTTCTTCTCCCGCGTCACAGTTTTTACATCTTTCCATTTCTTTTTAGTTGTTTTTTTACCAGTTATTTGGAAACTTGTGTCTTGTGTGGCTTTACTTTTTGTAATTTATTGCGATAACTGTGGTAACTTGATTTCCGATCAGTTCAGAGGTATTTGGAATCGTGTCTTCTCACATGTGCGTATTCTCACGTCTTCTCATCAGACACCTGAACGGTTGATGTTTTGTGTGAAACAAGTTTACTGCAACCAGGCGGTTTTTGTTGTCACTCAGAGTGACTCTTTAGCCATCGGTCATCTAGCTTGCTTTTAATCACAGCAGCAGCACACGTGCATGGCAGAGGTGTGGGAGTGTTGCAGGGACCGAACGCAGAGGGCGCTGTGCTTCCGAAGGCCGCTGGTGGCCGTGGCCGCGCGTGCGCAGAGCTTTCCCGTGTGCTCGTGGATCGGGTCCGGTGTTTTCCGTTAGCGTTGCATTCAGCATCCTTTCCTTGCTTGCCGACGAGACTTCGGGAGGAGGACTGTTACTGCTCCGCTTTGTCCCACAGCTCGATTAGCGCTCGGCCCATTTTCTAGTGTCCTCGCTGCTCCCGGCAGCATAAGCTCTTGGAGACCTCACATCTCGCCGTGTTTTTCTTAGGTGGCTGAATTGTATGAAGAGCTGAAGGGCAGAATCTCTCAGTTCAACATGTGCGTGGACTCTCGGCGGCCCGTCGTGGACCAGGAGCACACGTACAAGCAGCGCTTCATCTTGCAGGTGTGCGGGCGCCCGGGCGTCTTTCCGATTCTGATTCTGTCGGCTGGCGGGGTCTGTGGCCGGGAAGCCGCCGACTGCTTTCTGATGCAGGCCATGCCTCGGGCGGTCGCAGGGCCACTGTGCCCGCGCCATGCCCGTGCCGTGCCCGGGAACAGGGGGAACTGCTGTCCTTCACAGCTTCGGGTTTCCTGTCTTGATGGGTGATCCAGACCCCTCACTGGTGTCCGGAGGGGGTTCGTGTCGCACAGCCGCCACGACTGCCTCCGGACGGATCCTTTTGTTTCAGTGTTCCAGAGAGGAAAAGCGCCCTTAACGTTATTTAGTGTAGTTAGCTTTCCCCTCACGCTGCAAACATTGTCATAGCTCTGGAGGCTGTGGTCAGCTGAGCTTGTCGGGTGGGACCTTGGGGGCCGTGTACAGAGAAGTGAGTTCTGGAAAGGTGGCCGAGGCCCTCAGGGGCTCCGATGGGGTTACTGGGAGAGATGCTGGGAGAAGGGGTGTACCTCTGGATGGCAGGTGGTTGCAGGGCTGGGGAGCGCCTCCCACGGGCATGCTTCGGGGTGTTCTCATGGGAGAAGGGATCTGCAGCGTGCGTTTCAGCGTGGATGGGGCATGCAGGCCGCTGCTCCGGATGCGAGGACACCAACTGGAATCTTACCTCAGTCGGGGAAGTGCCTGACCCGCAGGATAAGTGCGTCCGGTGGAAGGTGGTGAACTTGGCCTGCCGCCCGGGCTACCTGCGCACACGCATTCGTACACTGGTTCGGCCCGCCGCTGTTCCCTAAACCTCATTTGAGAAGTCCCCAAGCTCTTTCAAAGAAGGTCATGTGTTAAGTGTTTCTGTTATGGAGAAATTGCCAAGATTGTGACTTTCTGCTTGATGAGTTAAAAGATCTTTTTTTCTGATATAAACTCATCTTTTACATTACGTTATATTGTTCTGGGAATAGGTTAGTGTATTGGTGAGATAAACTGATAAAATGATGCTGTTACTTCATGAACATAAATTTCTCTTCCAGGTCGTGTTGGCAGGTGCTTTTTATCCAAATTACTTTACTTTTGGGCAGCCCGACGAGGAGATGGCGGTCAGGGAGCTGGCTGGCAAAGACCCCAAGACAACGGTCGTGGTAGGTGGAGAAGACAGGCCACCTTCCCTGGGGACAGATCGGGCCACTGGTGTTCAGACGGGGCCTCCCTTCAGTGCGGCTGATGCAGAGTATTTTTCTTCACTCGTTTCCGTTTTCATAAGTAGCGGGTGGGTTTTCCCCCTACCGTGAGTATTGCAGCCTGTTTGACCTTCACGTGTGTCACCTTGCCCCTCAGTCTTGCTGCTTTGTTTGCGGGACTGGCCTTGAAGCCTTGATAGATAGGTTGTGTGTCCTTGACTAATGCTGGTTGATCATGTGCCATTCTGAAGTGCTTACGGCTCTTCTTTATAAGCTTTAAACACGTTTAGTTAATTTACTCCATTTATACACACCACTGAGCACTGCCGTCTACACCACGGTCCCCAGACACAGGTGCATCACCAGCGTTTAAGTTCATGTTTGAGGGCTCCCCTCACAAGATCCAAACGAGAAGGCGCAGCCTGGCAGGTGGCATTCAAGTGGCACGTGTTCTGGGTGAGTCCAGGGGTCAGCCAGGCACTGGCCCCGGTCCGCACCTGGGGCCCGCGTGGTCCAAGCTGCCGCAGGATGGCCTCAGGGCCCACGGCCGGAGTAGAGGCTTCGCCGCCAGCTGCGGGGCCTGCAGAGCTTAGGGAAGTTCCCGGTGGCTGTGAGCGCACTCAGGGCGAGCTGTCGCCCCTCTCGTGGGGGCGTCGCCACTGGTACGAGAGAGTGGGACTGACAAGGGGAGGGTGACGATCACTAGGGCTGCACACAGGTCTTTGGGGCGCGCTGGCAGGAGTGGTTCCGGGCAGCAGTGCAGACATGGCTCCTGCTGGGGGTGGGCTTCCTCAGAAGGCGCAGCCCTTCCCGAGTCATCACGGCACCTGGGCACTGCCTGTGCTGGCCACCTGGACCCCCGGGGCAGCCTGGTCATGTGCACTCTGGGTCCGGAATCACCTCTCCACTGTGTGCCTGGTAAAACCTGAGTGACAGCCACATGCGCTCCGTGCATGACAGGCCTCGGTGGGTCGTCCGTGTCTGACAGGCCTCGGTGGGTCGTCCGTGTCCGTTCCCTGACCGCACGCGGACCCTCTGAGGGGGCGATTTCTCGTCCTTGCACCTTGTCCCATGCCTGTTGTGTCCTAGTGCGATCCCCTGGCCTGCCTTAGGATGCCTGGCTGGGTGGTACTCACTTGGACCCGAGTCCGCAGCTGGTCAGCCTGTGCGTTTTTACCCACGCACCGCTTCTCATGGAGCTGTAGTGGGACCTGTGATGACGGAACCTGGTTACAGGGCCAGGAGACTCCTGGCTTCATGCCAGAGTGAGGTGCGGGGATCACTCTGACGGAAGGGAGGACGGGCTCGGTCTGCAGAGTGGGAGGGGGGGTCGGGAGCGTGCGCGCCTCTGGCTGCGGGGACTGGGTCTTTATTTTTCTTTGTTAGACTTTCGGACCATTTTAAGAGGGGAGAATCAGCCTTTATTTAATATATTTATTATTAAAACTTAGTTACAGTTTAAAAGTCATTAGTCTTTCAGTATCCCTTTTCCTGGACTCTGCACTGTGGTTGAGACGGTAGAGTGTGTTTTCGTGAACTGAAAACGTGCGCGGCTTTAAGCGTGTGAATGCGACCGCAGCGTTCTGTTCGCCCTGACGCGCGTGCTGTGTTTTCCAGCTGAAGCACATCCCTCCGTACGGCTTCCTCTACTACAAGCAACTGCAGTCCCTCTTCCGGCAGTGTGGCCAAGTCAAGTCCATTGTGTTCGACGGTGCAAAGTAAGTCCTGCGTTCTGTCAACTGCAGTCGTGAAAGAGCTGTGGGTTCCCGGGTCCCAGGAGCCGGCTCTGAGACCCCGTTGCCGTGGGGCGGCCCCCGGGGCTGCTGCACACAGCTCCGAATGCAGCTTCGCTCTGTTGGCGGAAGCAGTTGCCCTCTTTCAGCTGGCGACTCTGAGGAGCTGAGCCAAGTGGTCAGTGCTCCGGTGCCAGGAGGACTCCGCGACGTGTGGTCCCGGGGTTGATGCGTCACTTCACGTACCTGTCCCTGGCCTGCACGCGAGTCTCTAGTGACACGCCTTTGTAGGCCACGAAGGTGTCAGGATAGAGTTTGTTGCTTATAATTGCTCAGCACACAGGTTCTAAATAGTGTGTGAGACAGATACTGGGAAACCCGATGACGTTTGCCCTTGTTCTAGTTCATGACCAAATGGCATGTTTTGGAGTTGCGCTCTGAGTTTCTATTTCCAAGAGAGAATTTTTATACACAGAAGAGACTATTTATAGTTTTCAGGTTGATTTTTATTTTTTTTAATTAGAAGTTGTTTCTAATACTCTAATTTTATTTAATTTACAAATCTTTGTAAATCTGGAAAACACTTTTCCTTGATTAATGTCTAACAAGTTGAATGTATTAAATCTACATTCAATTTGGATTAATTCTGTAAAACATTTTAAGTTCCGTTCTTATGATTAATGTGTTGATTTTCTTTGTAATCATGTAAATGCCTCACATGGCAAACTAATAACCCTACCAGGCAAATCTTTGTAAGTCCTTTTAACAACTGTTACTCATTTAATTAATCTTACAGTGTCTTAAGTTTTCTTTAAGTTACAAACAGTCAAATTTAAATTCTTAATCATATATGTAAAATCACATTTAAAACTGGATCTGCACAGCTAAGCCATCTCCTCTGAATGCTGGAAGTCCACTTGCCTTGGACGAGGTTCTGGTGACACCTGAGTGTCTTTTGGCCGCGATGAGTGGCCAGCAGTCTGGGCTCTCACGAAGGTCGTAGCAGCCTGTGTCACTAATCTGTACGGCTGGATGGGATCCTGGGTTTGTTTCACATTTCTCCTGTCTGGGACCTTTTCATAGCTATTTTAGTTATACTGTGCTCAATTTGTCTGACTTTCTAGTCATGGTACCGATGTCATGTCAGTTACTCGGGAAAGTAGCAGTGTCCTTCTCATTTACCAGTGGCAGTTCTTGTGCACCAAACATTTGAAGGCAAAGAGTGACATCAAATCGTACTTGAAGGAGGAAAGCCCGCAACCCTTCTGGGGCACAGAGTCCGTGTGAGCCTGAAAGGTGGTCCGTAGGCACAGTTTCCTCCCCAGAAGCTTTCAGCTTAGTGTGTGTGTGTGTGGGGTGGGGGGTAAAATTGATTACACGGACACTGTCGCCTGTCACAGAAAGTCATGGGAGAGGCCCAGGTGGTCAGAAGGAGACGTTCTTCCTGAAGCTCAAAGTAGGTGCAGGGACGTTCACTGAGACTTGCTCAAGAGGTGTTTGAGGGGGAACTGGGAGCCTAGGAGGCCTGGGCAGGTGGAGGGCCAGGTGGGGGTGTGGGGTTGTCGCTCCAGCAGGAGCCCACTCATGACTTTGCAAAGTGTAGGGAGTCGGGCTACGTTTTGGATGATCTGTGGCCGACTGACAGGTGTGGCCGTGAGCAGATGGGCGTCTGGAGCCCCGAGCACTCTGGTCTGCACGGTATTTTGTGGAACCAAGTCGAGGAGATGGCCAGGTCTGAGCTAATGTGGGGTGAGCAGCCGTGACGTCTGCCCGACGTTGTGAAGAGGAGCGGGGCAGAAAAAGCTGGTCTGGCTGTTGATGGCCGCGGGGGACCCAGAAGGTGGGGTGAAGAAGGGGGCCCTCCCGCTGGTGCTGTGAGGGATGACCAGGAGTGGAGGCGAGGCCAGGGAACGGGGTGGGTGGGGAGTGTCACAGCCGAAAATGGCCCTAGGAGATTGGAACCTGGGAAAGGTGGTCCGAAGTCTAAAAGGAATTATGCCTGAGGAGAGGCTCAGGAGCCCCTAGAGAGGGTGGTGGAGACGGATGTGGGAGGTTCGGGCAGAGGACAGGAGGCAAAAGTGGGGATTCAGTCCCAGGAGTCAGCTGAGGAGGGTGACGAGCCAGGGCGGGAGGACGGTGGGCTGAGAGAGAGGGTGGCCGCATCTCCCAGATCACCGGGAATCAAGCACTGCCCTGGGGAGTTGGCTGCAGGGACTGGGGCAGTGCGGGGGGAGGTGATGTGTGATGTTCGACCCAGGAGCATTTTGACAAGCAGATGCAAACAGGTAAAGCGAGGTTGTTCTTCTTTATAGCAGAAGAGTCCGGGAGGCACCCTTCCTACAGCTCGATCCCCTCCCCCGGGGGTGGGGGGAGGCGGAAGTGGGCTTGGCGGTCCCCAGCCCTGCTGTGTTTTTGGAGGGAGGGCACAGCGATCACCAAACCGCTCATGTGGTTTTAGCTGTGGTGTAGTTGACGATGAAACGGAAAATCCCCCAAACCTGCTATTCTTTTCTAATTATGAGAATTAAAGTTTCTTAACTGAAAACTCCATTCGATCTTGGTGTTTATTCTGCATTATTCTGCGTAATACGTAGGACGATTCTTGGTTTTAGTTAATGTATGTCATGATTTTTATTTAAGTGAATAATTTTCCTTTAAATACTTCTTGATTAATTATGGAATGAAGAGTTACTTCTGTTTTCAGGAGAAGTATAAATGAACATTCCTGTCTGATACTGAGAGAAATATGCATTAGTTATTGTTTTCAGATCCTTGATACATTTTTTTTATTTGCATTTGTGGAGCAGAGCCTTTGTGGAGTTTTCACGAAACCCGACAGAGAGATTTAAAACTCTTCCTGCAGTGTATATGGCGATTAAGATGTCTCAGCTCAAAGTTTCCCTTGAACTCAGCGTTCACTCTGCAGAGGAGATCGAAGGGAAGGTGCAAGGAGGGACCGTCTCGAAGCTCAGGAATACCAGGTACTGTCACCGGAGCATGGGGCTCCTCTCCCGGCACGTCATCCAGGTTCTTGACGTCTCGAACAAAGAACTGAGCGAGACACCGGAATACAGCAGCAAAGGAAAGGTGTATGAGAAGGGAAGGTCCACTCCCAGACGTGGAGGCTCAGAGGGCCTGGTAACAAGGCCTTTAGGGTTTTTATCCCTATGTGCTGTGGGTGGTTACTTTTCTCAGAGGGGTGGGCTTCCTTGATTGACAGCTAAGATTGACAGGACTCCGATTCATCATTTGCTTTCCGCATGTGTTCGTTTCCAGAATTCAGTCTGTTATAATGATATTAATGAACTTCCGTGCATAGGCATCATATTATAATAATGGTATAATGAGGCTCAGGTGAGTTGAAGATCGTTGGATCTTTATTGCGTAGGAGCGAGTGACTGGCTGAAACTAGTACCCAATTTTCTGCTCACTTGTTTCTTTTTATGAGTTACTTTTAGCCTAAAATGCCTTCTGGCTCGCTTAATTGTGGGCTGACTAGGGCAGATCCCTTCTAGGATAGGACGACTTCAGTGTCTTTGCAGGCAGACCCGAAACTCCCTAACTTTCCTGTCTAACCCTTTTCTAAGGGCCACGAACCCCCTTCTTATTAGTATGGATGTCGAGGGACGGGAGGTCTCTCTTTCTGTATCTGCTTCCTGCT